GCAGTAGGCACATGCCACTGAACAGGTTGTTGAATAAACACTTAAAAGATGCGGCAAACCTTCAGGAATCAAACGGCGTTACTTAATTTAAGTTGTGTGCAAGCATTTAGAAGTTACGAATTTTTAGACAGACCCCTGCATTTCAAAAATTCTGGTAAAAAAGCGCCACAAATCAAAATTAATAACAGATAAATGAAAACAACCTCTATAAAAGTTATTTGTAATTTAGCGTAGAATCCAAAAATAAAATCAAACTGAGTAGATTCCATTAAAAAAAAAAACATAACTTTAGTGTTTTTTTAATATTGGGACACCTGTATATAAACCGCAATATTTTTAAAATGTGCATCAAATACGCAGCTATAATCTAAAAAAAAGAAAAAGTCAATATCTCTTAAAATAAACAAGTTATAGAGCTTTTTCGGACCGTTGGGACAGCCTGTATATTTTTCTTTGAGTTTTATCTTTATTCTAAAAACTAAAATTTTTATTTTTAAAAATTGGTGGTGACTTTTTTTTAACAACCCCTTCAGTGACACCTACTGAAAAAATTGAAGATAATTCCCTATTAGTCAGTTTTAGCGAAGGGCGATAGCCCTTCAAAGATTCGCTCATAATATAAAACCTTTAATAACGTTTACTTATTACGTAAACTACTATACCGGGTGAATAAAAAATATGGAACCAAGCGTTTTTTGCATAAACTAATTATTTTGCAAAAAATAATTGGTGCAGTTTAAAGTACTATTCAAATATAATCGTTTTTCGGGAATAACATTTTTCGATTTTTTTCTTAGTTTTCTAGTTTTACAAAAATATTATTTAAATGACAACTCATTTTTTTTTAATTAAAGATTATGATCTAAAAATTACTTAATTAAATAAAATTGATTTTTAACCAGTAGTTTTTTTTTAATAAATGTTAAAGTTGCGGTCGAGCAGAGCAGGTCTGTTTTTTGTGCAGGTACAACTTAAAAGTGGTTTCGAACGGATTAAAAATGGAAGAAAATAAGTTCTTATTAAATTTTTTGATCCATCTCCTTACAAAAACCGTGGTCTCCTACGTTCAAATGCACACAAAAGCAATTTTGTTATAAATTCAAATATAATTTTATAAATTAGTAAATAGATTACTTTGTACTAAAAAAGAACTGCTTCTAAAATACAGCCTACGCCAGAACTCGCGCCCCACAGAAAATTTTCAAGTAAGGTAAGATACCAGGAACATAAAAAAATGTTTAAAAAATTTTATCTGTCAAAAAATTTTAACATTTATTTTTTGACATTTGACATTTTTTATATCTATTTAATGATACTGTCATCAGTCAGATGTCAGATCATTCTTGTATATGTTTTTTTACAATTACTTAGTAAAGGGACAAAAAATTTGCCAATAAAAGCCACAAATAACATTGAACAGAGTTACAATTTAGGATACAGCTTCCTTGTTACCTCTTTTAATAACCTATGGCAAAAAAACTTGGAAAATTATTTTTCCAACAGAAAGTGCAAACTTTAAACAAGGACAAATTATCTTGATCACTCGATACTTACTTAGTTTTTACTAATTTAAAAAGAAATCATCAATTGTAATTTTCTTTGGGCCACATCTTAGGTATCTAATTAAATTAAGTTTATATCTCTTTGAATAATGAACTTTACCAACTCGCTAGAACACCTTATACACAATTTTCAACTTGTTTTAAAATTCTACACTTTTTGGTTTTTGGGTAATGATGGCAGTGACATTTTTTTAAATGGAAACCCCTATTTTTTTTAGCGAATTCGATAGATAATTGTCGAATTGGCAACACCAAAATATTATGTAAGTACATATTACATAAAGTTAAAAAAAAATTATCCAAAAAGTTAAATAATATCAATAAAAAACAAAGATACAATTTTAAATCTAATTCGAGCATTTTTCCAAAACAAAATATTTTCAGTTTTATAAATAAGATTAATCTATAATTTTGCCGCTTACTGTATACCCTCAAATCATTTAATTTTTTTTTAGATATCCCCCCCCCCCAAAAAAATTTGCTTGCGGTGTGTTTCTATCAAAATTATTAGTACTAAATTCTGTCTTTAGACATTAGGTAATGATGTCTGTCTTCAGGTATTCAATTATAGCACTTTCAAAGAGCAAACAGGCAGACAAGATTAATAAAAGTCAAAATTTTGACAACATCTCAATTTGAAAACATAACCATAATTTTTGAACAAAATTTTTAGAGACAAAAACAAAGAGCAAACAAGCGACAAGCTGCTACCAATTTTTTCACCAAAATTTTGACCATTTAAAGAAAAAACAGACTTTACTGTAACCACCCTTCGACTTCCCATGATCATGTCTCTTTTTAGGGGGCGACTATCTCATCGAAATCTGCGGCAGATATTTAAACATTTACGGTCAATGTGCCTTACGTTTTATCGACCGTCCCTGGAACTCGTCAAAAGCCAACGATGTCAATACTGTCAAATTCAATTACGTTAATTTCAACGGAATCACCGGGATTCTAAACAAACTAAAACTGCGATTTCCCAACATCGATAATTTTTTCTTTAAAGAGAACAACATCCATTGTTTGGGCCAAATCAATGCTCTTGCAGAAGTCCAAGGATTAATTTCACTCAACATCGATCCTGAGGGGAATCCCATCACGCAAAAAAACTGGCGCAGCTATGCGATTTACAGACTTTCCCATTGGGGGCTGTCGGTGATCAACGAAGTCGAGGTGACTGACGAAGAAGTGAAAAAAGCCAATGAGGAGTATCAAAGTTTGAGCGATTTGGTTCTGTGGTCGTTGCCGGATGTCCTCTTGCAGCCCCTTTTAGTCCGGTTGAGACTCGATGTGAGTTATGGGGTGTCGGAACACAATGCGAAAAAGTGGCTTCTGGCGGCTGATCCCGATTTGAGAAGTGTTGTGAGTAAAGAGGCGTTGCAATGGAAGAAAGGATGTGGGGTATTGGGGAAAAACAGAGCAATGAGAGTGATAAAATATTTTTGTTTTTTAGGAGGATGTTGCGGTTAGGCAGAAAGCGAAGCAATACATTTCGCAGTTGTTGGAAGAAATGGGGAATTCGGTGAATAAATTGCGATTGTTAGATAAGAAGTGGCCTTCGATTTTGCACGAATTTGTGCGAAATGCCCTTCTGGACTATTCACAGTTAGACATGTACATGAAACAAAAAATCTTAGAACTGAAGTAGTCTGTTTTTTCTTTAAATGGAAATTACCAAGTCAAAATTTTGGTAGCCACAAATTTTGTTTGCTCTTTGTTTTTGTCCCTAGAAATTTTGTTAAAAAAATATGGTTATGTTTTCAAATTGAGATGTGTTTTGATAGAAACACACCGCAAGTAAGTACAATGTGGTGGACAAAAATGAGGATCTTGCTGCAAAAACTTTGAAGAAATAGATGTACATACAGAAAAAAGTTCTGTAGCAAAAGATACAAGTAGGTGTAATTTATTGAAATGAGCTCAAAGTTGATGCATTTTATAATTTCTTCTTCAGCTTTAGTTTCAAAATTGTTACTTTTTCAACTCGTTCCTCAAAGACGAAGCATAAGACACTAATTTAATTGCGTTCTTTCCGAGGTTCTTTCTCATTCATGTTTATTTTGTATTCTTGTCAATTTCTTGCTAAAAATTGAGAATGTTTAGCAAACCTGCATTACAAATTGCGTCTACATTTCAACGGGCTTTTTTTCTAACTATTCGTTTCCAAATTTCTAAAAACTTTTAGCGGTACCGAATTTGTTCCTTTTTTGGTGTTTGGTCTCTAAATTTTTTTATACGATTTTTTCTAATTTGCGTTTATAATACGTTTATTAACGTCTCTCAGTTGGAGTCGTTTATGGCTATCTACAGGGTGTTCGGTCTATACCCCACATTAGAAGTATTGGGAGTTGGAATAATCGTAATTATTTGAAAATTGGTACATAGCTATAAACCATTAAGTCCTCCTAAATGAAAATTTTTTCAAGATGGCGGCACTTCCACTTATACCGGAAGTCGGTCTCAACTTTTTTTACTGCGTTTTTGGATTAATCGGGTTATTTTAAGGGAGTTTTCATCAGCTTTCTCCATACCCAAATTTAGCCGTTTTTTAAATATTTGGAGTTTTTCAAAAATTTTTGGATCTGCACCTTCCACTTTAAAAATCGGTAACTCTGCCATTTTTTAAGAGTTTGAAATAGTTTTTTTGGCGTTTGAAAGTGAAAGCTTAGATCCTTTTTCTGGTGTTTTCAAATTTTGAAAAAAAAAAAACATATCCCAAAATTTTAAGGTTACTTTTGTAACAATTCAAATACTCATAACTCAATTTTTTCAAATGGAATACCCCAATTTTTATTTTACTAAATAGAAGAAAATTTAATTGTGCATTGATTTTATTAACATTCTCTATACCTAAATTTAATAATTTTCAAGTTATGGACTTTTTTTTAAGACTACAGAAAATTCATTACTAGCCACACCCGTTTTCACATAGTTTGCTATGGAAATCAAAAATGTCAAAATTTTCTCTAAGCAAACGTCAACAGTAAATTACTATTTGACAAATAGTGCCAAAATATGAAGAATCAAAATTATGCAAACTTAATTATTATTGATAGGTTCCACCACGCGATCATTATTTAAAGCTAACAAGTGAGAAAAAATTATTTTTGTTCAATGAACGACATCATAATTTTGTTACACTCTCCATAAATACAAAAAAAATTAATGAAATCTAAGTTTGAGTAGCTTTGACTCTTTATATTTTGGCACTATTTGTTAAATAATAAGTCACTGTCGACGTTTATTGAGAAACAATTTTGACATTTTTGATTTCCATAGCAAACTATAGGAAAATGTAATAGATTTTCGACTGTCTTAACAAAAAGTCACCATAACTTAAAAAATATTACATTTTGGTATAGGTATGTTAAATACACATCGATGCAGAATTAAATTCTCTTCCATTTCATTTGGAAAAATTGAGTTATGGGTATTTGAATTATTACAAAAGTAACCTTAAAATTTACGGTTTGTTAATTTTCTTTTTAAAATTTGAAAACACCAGAAGAAAGATCTAAGCTTTCTCTTTTAAACGCCAAAAAAACGAATCCAAAATTTTAAAAATTGGCAGAGTTACCGATTTTTAAAGTGGAAAATGCAGATCCAAATTTTTTTTTGAAAAACTCCAAATATTTCAAAAACGGCTAAATTTAGGTATAGGGAAAGCTGATGAAAACTCCCTTAAAATAACCAGATTTATTCAAAAACGGAGTAAAAACTATACTTTACATTTAAAATAAGAAAGTTGAGACCAATTTCCGGTAGAACCGGAAGTGCCGCCATCTTGAAAATATTTTCATTTAGGAGGACTTAATGCATTATGGCTATGTACCAATTTTAAAACAAATATGATTATTCGAACTCCTGATACTTTTAATGTGGGGTTTAGACGGAACACCTGTATAAAACTCACTGTACTTTAATGAATTTAGGATTATTTAGTTTTTGTATGCCGCTTCTGACTTGTCAGGTAACAAATTTTGCGTTGTTACTTCGGCAATTTTGCGAATTTCGGGCGGAGTGCAAACTAAATTCTGTTGGCTCATATTTTATTTATTATTATTATGTTGTAACACTAATAACTAATAATTTGTAAATTTTATTATTAATGACAGACGACAGAAATGATTCAAAAAATCAGGTGGGCGCCGAGTGTTACCAACCGATACCAACTAACAAAATTCTCTAGACGACAAAAATATATTTTTTTAGAAAAAAGAGGGCGCAAATTAGAAAAAAATAGCATAAAATATTCGTTTTATAATGGCATTGGTGCACTCATCCCTTAGAAAACTTGTTCTTTAATATACTATTTTGTGTTGACGTTTAATGACATTGTTAAATTAATTCAAAAAACCGGAACTGTCAATAAAATTACCATGAATGAATTTACTAGTGGTGCCAACGTTACGACTCTTTGGCATTTCCATTAAAAAAAAACAGACTTTAATTATTGGTTCACTGCCGTATGAAAAACACTGTTGCACTATTGTGAACGTTGAATTTTTATTATGGGGTTTTTATTGTATTTGTTGAATAAATTTGTTATTCTTTACTATCCTATTGTTTCATTGTGTAACGCGATTTTCCTCGACAAGTCAATCAAAACTTTTCTTTCTTGTTCGAAAACAAACTATTTATGTAACTTCATTACATATTAGTTCCTACGACTTTGATAATAATTCTTGATCTTGACCGTAAAAAGCTAATGATTATTCGTAAAGGGTAAACAAATTGTACAAATTTCGAAACTCGGAATGCAGCAAATAAGTGAACGCAATCTGCATTACTTCTTGCATTCAGTTCCTCTTCTCCACTGAATTTCTCTTTAAACAAGTCGCTAACCTTTTCCCATTGTGAAAAAATTGCTTATTAATTGCGATTTGATTTTTACACCCAGTTGTGTCTCCAATGTAACGGATTGAGTCAGCTCGTGTTTTTTAAATAACTGAAATTTATAAGGATCAGGATTTGTAATGCGGACACATTAATAATTTCAAATGAAAGGGAGAGCCAATTACCGTTTATATTGCTCTGGTATTATATGCAATAATTGACGGAATGCAACCGTAATTTTACCTAGTTTACATTTTCGAAAACGATTTGACAGAAATGCGCAACTTGCACAACATGACGGGTACCACCCAAACACGTGGTGGTATGGTAGGTTTTGCTGAACATGTGGAGAAATACTTTCACTGCTTTCCCATCTTTCCCTTATTCCGACTACCGAGATTATATATTCTCAGGGAGGACAAATTATTTGAGTCGTTCTTTGTCCTTTCGGCGTGCCAAACGTGCATTTTTAGTTTATTTCAAAGGTAATTTTTAGATTTTTCTCACATTATTACCATTTCTTTTTTTTTCAAAATAAAAATAAATAATTTTTCACTAAATTTACTTCTTTCAATTTTTCTTAAGAAATTAATTTTTATGTACAATAGCTACATTTATCTCTGCACTTATAGCTCAAAGGTGATTTTTATTTTTTTTTTCTGATTTTCTGAAACGTTGGTTTGATTCAGGTTGATTCCCGGCTTCAAATTGAGCCAAAATGATTGAAAATATCACAGATTATTTTATTTCAGCCTAAAATTGAGATTGACGCAATTATTTTTATAAAATACATTAGTTTTGAATAAATTCTGTATTAAAATCAAGCAAAATTTAATTGAAAATAGCTCAAATTACTTTATTTTAGCCTAAAATTGTAATTGAAGCAATTATTTTAATAAAAAAACATTAGTTTTGAATTAATTCTGTATTAAAATCACGCAAAATTGGATTGAAAATAGCTCAAATTATTTTGGAAGAAAACTTCTATTCAAGCCAGTAATTGGTTGAAATTTTTTGATTCAGGTTGATTCCCAACTTAAAATTGGGCCAAATCGATTGAAAATATCACAAATTGCTTTATTTCAGCCTGAAATTAAGATTGAAGCAATTATTTTTATAAAATACATTAATTTCAAAATAATTCTCTATTAAAATCTAGAAAAATTGAATTAATAATAGCTCATATTGCTTTATTTTGGGAGAAAACTCTTATTAAAGCCAGTATTTGATTGAAATACTTTGATTCAGGTTGATTCCCAACTTAAAATTGAGCCAAATCTATTGAACATGTCACAAATTGCCTTGTTTCAGCCTAAAATTAAGATTGAAGCAATTATATTTACAAAATACATTAATTTCGAATTATTTCTATATTAAAATCGAGAAAAATTGAATTGAAAATAGCTCAAATTGCTTTATTTCAGCCTAAAATTAGAATTGAAGCAATTATTTCAATAAAAAACATTAATTTTGAATTAATTCTGTATTAAAATCGTGCAAAATTGGATTGAAAATAGCTCAAATTGCTTCATTTACATTAAAACAACAAGTGTTTTTGAGAATTTTTTGCATTATAAAACAAAGGAATGAGATTCTCCATTGCATTAGAAAAATTTCATCTTTTTTAGAAGTCCTTAGTAAGTCATTTTATTGTTTTTATTAAATTAAACATAAAAGATACAAATTTTTTGCGCTTCGTCCTCGATAACTTCCTTCTTAAACAATAATTTTGATTTTTTTTTTTTTGACCCACTATACAATCTGAAGTGTAACATCATCAACTATTTTTTTTAATGAGACATGCCCTTTTGTTTCCGTAAATGAACTTATTTTCTGTATTTAGTAGTACTTATAAAAAATGGCGTCTTAAAGAATAAAAGTTCCATTTAAAAATGGTCGATATTGTCATATTTCGGACCGTAGTGGGTCAAAAAAAAATGTGATTAATATTAAAAAAACACTTAACGCAAAGAAATTTTAATTTGACTACACTTTCTGGATTTTTTATCGAACTTTTTACTTTCTTGAAAAGAGTTATTGACACACGTACTGAAAAAACAAAATAATTTATTTATAAGCTTTTATTTTATTGCTTTGTTGTCTGTTTTTACGCCACTGTTTCACAATAAAGTTTTATAAATTTCATTTTTATTTCGTGATTCGATCTTGGGAATGTCTTATCTCTACCACACGAAAATGCTTGCACTTTCGCAGTGCAAGAAAGCGGCCCTAGGCATCAAACTGGTTTATGGTAAAATCATGTAAATGATGTAAATCCGCGTCCGACAAGGAAACCCAACATATGTAACACTGAAGTGTAAAAATGTAATAACTCGACTTTCCCACTTATCCATTATAAATTTTTCGCGCTCGTACTATGTTATTTGTAGCGTGCGAACAACAATTACACTTTCTTTAATCTCATTTTTAATTGATTGGATCCGAATTGATTTTCACTTTCAGATGAATTACTTACTCCATGTGTTGGTACTTCTGGGTCTGATCGGCGTCTCCAAAGCCCATCATTTTATCAAATTGGTGATTTTGGCTGGTTTGGGATTAGCGGGGCTGTGGATGGTGCATACCCTAGCACAGGATTATGGCAATTTGACTCATGGTGGCGGCGGAGGCGGCGGCGGTGGGGGCAAAGTGTTCGAGAAGCGCTCCATTGATGTAAGTGACCGAATTCGGGTCACGAAAGATTCGCGGAACCGGATTTCCAAACATACATTTATTTTTTCACTTATATAAATGCGTAAAAAGCGAAAGTCGGGCGACTATCACTATCATCAAAACATTTATGCTTTTTTTATCGTTATTTAGAGTCACCGTGGGATAAATTGGGAGTTTGTGTTGTCTAGAGACCCTGCAAGGTGTGCGAGGAGTTTCATTTGTCAGCTCGCGGCGCAAGATGAGGACCAACTCGATGAAGTCGGACAAAATATCCTTCGATTAACTCGGTACAATTTTGGTTTAATTTTAGTAAAGTGCAGTCAGTAGGGAGTTTTGCCCTACAAAAGGTGGGGTAGTAGTAATTTTTTAATATGCTGACAAAAAAAAACAAGTTTTCGACCTTGGGGGAGGACCACTCGAGCCGCCATCTTGGATGAAAGGTACAAAAAATAGGTTTTCCCAAAATAACTTTGCCACTAAAAGCCACAAATAACATTGAACAGAGTTACAATTTGGGATACAGCTTCCTTATTTCCTCTTCTAATAGCCTGTAGCAAAAAAACTTGCAAAATTATTTTTCCAACAGAAATAGAGTCAAAGTGCAAAATTTTTATAGATAGATTTTTTTAACATTTTTTTCATGTTCCTGGTATCTTATCTTACTTGAAATTTTTCTCTGGGGCCCGAATTCTAGCGCAGCCTGTATAGGTTGATTAAAAGTATCCCACCACCATTTATTCTCAAAATTCAAACAAAAATTTACTAGGAAGGTACTATCTTTTATAAACACAACTTTTTAAAGCTGTTAATTACGATAAGGTGCTTTATTAGTAACAGACCTTGAAACATGCATATCAAACATTAAGAAAAATAAATTTTAAACATTGTAGTCAAAATCTTAAACGAATTTATAAAATATTAATTAAATTAATTTTTAATTTAAAGATGTTTTTGTTTTTGTTTTACTCTGAGTGATTCATATAGAAACAAACAAAATATTGAATGATTATTCTTCAACTTGGCAATAGAAGCTATAGGTATACTTATTTGGATTATCTTTTTGAGTGTTCATAGACTTTAAGTGATTCTCCGTTGCTTCTACGGCAAAAGTGTTCAGATAAAAGTTAAAGAAGACAAAATTTCTCACATTTTTTGTATCAAATTTTTTTTTTTGTTACAACGGCGGAAATATGAACATTTTTCCCGAAAAATAGTAAAACTCCCCATTTTTGACGGTGAATTTTGTAAGAACAAATTACACTTGCTTTTAATGTTTTTTCCGCACCACAATAATTATACAGCGATATCTATTTTCAATTACACTGATTTTAATTGTTACATATAGGGTTATTCATAAATAAGGCTAGGATTATATGCAAAATGCATATTCCGATTAAAAATTTCAGTTCAAGTTAAAAATTGGCCAGTTTAAGAAAAATGATCCGATTACAAAATATGTTAAAGAGAAAACAACCAGTAATTCGTAAGCCTAACTCAAAGAATTAGTTTCCTGCTGAGTGTTTCCTTTTTAAATTCATTTTATACAGGGTGAATATTTAGAACCAAACGTTTTTTTTTAATTATTTGCCTCTGGAAAATAATAATTAACATAAAATAAAGTAATATAAAAAATCTGATCGTATTTTCAAAAAGAAATTTTGTTTTGCTTTGAGTTATGCGATTGTCAAAATTGTAATTTATGTAACTTAATTAATAAAAAGTAGATAGTCTCTAACACAGGGAGAGTATACAAAACATTTTTTAGTGGGTTGCAATTTTGAAAAAATAAAATTTTTGTAGAACTCAAAAACAAAAATTTTATTCTTGATAAAACATTAAAAAAAATGGATTTTTCGTGCATCTTTGTTATTAAGAGGTATATCAACAAAATTATAAGTTTTCTATGCATATCTGATGTTTTTTGATTAAAATAGGCCAATAAAAAAATGCATATTTTTCATATTTTGGCAACTTCGTGCTTATTTTAGGAATTATTGCAAATCAGAAATTTCTAATTAAAAATTTAGTTCAAGTTAAAAATTAGACAGTTTAAGAAAAAGGATCCGATTACAAAATATGTTAGAGAAAAATTGTTTGAACTTTTGAGATTACCATACTATTAATATTTTTTTCTTAAATAACACGGTTTTTTATTTATTGTTTTACAAAGATATGTTCATGCATTTTATAAATGTACAAAAATATTTATTAGAAATGATACAATTTATGTTAAAAAAATTATAAACTTTATCTGTTGTCAAAACTTTCTTCCACCGGCCAAGGTGTGGTACGTTTAAACAATTAATTAAAATAAAAAATATCTTGGCATCGCTTCCTTACAACCTTTAAACATTCATCAATTTATTTCATAAAAAAACCGAGTAGTTTGTTAAAAAAAATTCTTTAATACTTGTAAGTCAAACATTTTTTTAACAAAAATTGTTAAGTTTACAAAAAAAAAAATTCTTGTAACAAGCTCCTTGTCTAAAAAAAATGTGGCAGATTTCCATTAAAAAAAATTGTTATTATGTTTATCTCGTAAGTATAACAATTAATTGATATTCAATTTTTTTTGGAACAGCAATTCTATAGCCATTGTACACCTTTATTTTTTGCCAAAAAAATTGATAGTTTCGCCAGAAAATAATAAGCGTTTCCAGACTTTTGGCCCACTCTACATTTTGGTCAAATGGTTCCGAAGTTATTACAAAAAAAAATAAAAAATTCCATACCCACGTCCCGAAGGCTGTAAATTCTTATCAGTAGAGATAGGACAGGAGTTATTATTAAATAATTAACATCGTTTTATAGGTAATTTTTGAGGTTCAATATTGCTTCATATTTGAATAACCCTATATGTAACAAGAAAAATCAGTGTGATTTGAAATAGATATCGCTGTATAAAAACATTAAAAACAAGTGTAATTTGTTCTCACGAATTCACCGTCGAAAATGGGGAAGTTTGCTATTTTTCTGGGAAAAATGTTCATCTTTCCGCCGCTGTAACTCGTTACACATTATACTTACAAAAAAAATGTTGATACAAAAAATGTGAGAAATTTTGTTTTCTTTAACTTTTATCTGCACAATTTTGTCGTAGAATCAACCGATTTTTCGTACCTTTCATCCAAGATTTTTGGATTTTTTGTCAAGGCTTAGATCTTAACAACATATTAAAAAATTATTAAAAAATTACTACCTTTTGTAGGGTAAAGGTCTTTTTTGGCCCCTACTAACTGGACTAGTAAATCGTTTTTAACACATTTTTGCAGATTATCGGCTCAGCAAGATTCATGGGCGAGTAAACAACTACTCGAAGCTTTGAAACATGGAAAAAACGCCTTGAATCCCAGCCAATGTATGAAAATTTACAAATTCTGCCCCTACTCTAGTCAAACGATGACGACTCTATTAAAACTCTTCGGTGGTTAAAATCCGTTAATGTTTTTTAGTCATAGGTAGCACTTTTCAATTGTTGTTAATTTGTTATTTACTACTAAGGGACCGTAGGATAGTCAAATAAAACATAACATTTCATTAGCATATGTATATCCAGTCATACATAAATAGTCAAATAAATAATTCGAACACCGCAACCTCATTTTTACTTTTCTACCCACTAAAAATAAATTAACGTGGCTGAAGGCTAGCCAACTTTGCTTTTAATTCAAGCAATTTCGCAACTTCTGGTTGCCATTCGGGTTTACTAGCCCCGCCTTCTTTCATTTTTCGTACGATTGAACCCTTGAAACATTATTTAGGCGAATTGTGCCACCAAATTTACCACTCACCTGAACCGCAATTTGGTCTTCTATGCTTTTAATGTCATCTTTGTTGTTTTGCAGACGCGAGTTGAGTTTTGATCGCAGATCAGTAAGGATTGCTTCTTCTTCCTTTATCCACTTTTTATCCGTTTTACTTGATTTTAAAGCTTTTAATCGGTTTTCCTGTAACATAAAAATCCGGAAAATGTTTATTCAATTCGGATAAAAACTCTTACAATCTCGCTTATACTTTTAGTCAAATCAGACACGCTTAATTCGCCGTTCATTTGTCGAGATTTCGTTTGCTCCCCTGCGAATTTTTTCTTCAATTCGTCAACTTTCGCCGGTTCTAGTTTGGCAAAAAGTGGCGCTGGGTTGCCCAGTTTGTGACCCGGTGGTAAAAGTTGCCTTATTTCAAGGCTTCTAAAATTAAATTTTCAATCATTACACTAATCAACAAATATAAACATACAAAGTGAACAAAAAAATATAGAACCAAGCGGTTTTTTTAATCAGTTGCTTTCAGAAAATAATAATTAATAAAAATTAAAGTGCAATAAAAAATGCAATTTGAAAATAAAATTTTGTTTTCTTTTTCAGTTAAGCGATTTTTTTTGTCAAAATGGCATCTTAAATGAATATAAGGTAAGATACCAGGAACATGGAAAAAATGTTAAAAAAAAATATCTATAAAAATTTCGAAGTTATGAGAGTTTAAATTTTGCACTTTGACTATTTATTTTTGTTGGAAAAAAATTTTTCCAAGTTTTTTTGCTACAGGCTATTAGAAGAGGAGAAACAAGGAAGCTGTCTCCTAAACTGTAACTATTTGTCGCTTTTATTGGCAAAATTTTTGTACCTTTACTAAATAGTAAAAAAACATATACAAGATCATCAGTATTATTAAATAGACATAAAAAAATGTCAAATGTCAAAAAATAAATGTCAAAATTTTTTTGACAGAATTTTTTAAACATTTTTTCCATGTTTCTGGTACTTGAAATTTTTCTTTGGAACGCGGGTTCTGACACACCCTATATACTAAAGTATTTTCTTGGTTAGTAGTAGTTTTGAACAAGTAAATTGATAATAACTTTCTGTAGTTATTTTGTAATGATTTTTTTTGCAAATTAGGACTAATTTGTTATTAGAAGAATTTCAGTCAACGTCAAAAAATTCATTCTAAAAACTAGCAAATTTTTTGAACGTTTTGGACAGCCATTATAAAAAATTATACAAAATTATTTTTGATATGATAGAAAGATATAAGAACTGTTATTAATTTGAAATTGACATTCATTTTAGAGTTAAAGCTTGAATTACACTAAAGTGTCAGAAAAGTGACGACCAAGGTATTTTGTGTACAATTGTACTTTATCATTCATCAATCATTTTTTCAAAAAACAACGTAATTATGTTGAGAGAATAAAATCTACTAAACAAAAGAGCTTGCAAATTAAGGTTGAACTATACTGAATACAAAAATAAATCGTTATTTAAAAATTCTGAAAAAATTATCATAACTTTTTGATGGCCTTAGCAGCAATATGTAT